TTTGTTGTGCATTTCAATGACAGAATCTAGATGCCAATTTTTAAAGAAAGGAAAAACTAAATCCAGGTGTAACAGAAAAAGAAGCAACTAAGTCTTCAACCACAAGCACTGTCTTATTGGTGAAATAAATAAAATGGCACCAACTTCAACATTTTGAACACCAAGCTGGACCCCCCTGACTGTCAACATGAAACATGTTAGCTGACAATAGCATCAGCTACTATAGACCGAAGCAGAGATAGAATACTTTAGAGAATCAATGACTTTTTCACATCAACAACAGCAAATGTGTACTAACCTCCAGCTCTTTGTCACTGAGGGAGCCCACGCTACACAAGCTCTGGTTAGATGACTCGTTGTGTCCAGAACCCTGTAGAGAGGAAAACAACGGATAACTGGACGTGTATTTCCTAATAGGAAAGGTCGTTGCTTGTAAGGCAGGAAAAAAACAGTGATATAAGTCTTCGACCACTTCGTAGTCGGCACCAATACCAGTAAAATTTGTTGGTCTTCGGTAACAATATTTTCTGCTCCAAAGCAAAAACTGTTGAATCAAGTACTTTAAAAAAAATGTGTCCTTTTTTGTCTTGTCCATTGGTTACATCCTTGTTAATCATCTCAGTTTCCGATTAAATCGCACACTTACCTCTTTCCCGGCCTTGACTGAAATGTACACCTTTCCGTGTTTTCACTTTTGCATGTTGCTTTTTTACTAACCCACATTCAAGTGCTGATAAAAAAGGAATGCATGAAGCTAGAACAAAAAGTGTGTTCTTTCTTTTAATATATTGCATATTTAGATATTCATACAACAAAATATTCTGGAGGTATCAAAATATTCTTGAATATTTGTGAAATTAAACAAAAATGCTAGTGGTGCCTGGCAACTTTTTTTTTTTATTTTTAAACGCTGTTAAATACAGTTGTCAATTCAGAAACTTTGCAGTGTACTTGGCAGCATGAAAAACTAAACTTGCATTCAGATTGTGAATGGGTAATAAACCGAAAACAAGAGAAGAGCCCTTTATGATCACTAAAGCAGTCAATCTCTAAAGCAATGAATACTGGACTCTCGCAAAAACTCCTGTTATAATAATACTAAAAAAAAAAGCTGTCTTGTACAATGAATCTCTAATTTAGATTATGTGTTCACTTTGTTGGTTAAAATAAAAGGATTCACAAGCGTGCTGTAGGTTTATGATGGGGTTAGGGATCAGGGGGCAGAGATGGGTTGGTTTAGGTATATGTAAGGTGGGAAGGGTTGAATCAGGATCCAACAACTCCCCCTGAATTTCGTGTTTTGCCACGAGGACCATCTCAACTTTTCCTCTGCAGTCGCCCTACGGAGTGAAAGCGGAATTGTCCATTACCGCTGTCGTAAATAATTTAGCTGACCACAGCCTACTGTCGCACACACACTTGTTGTTTATCCCGCAGCGGCTTTGGAATGAACGATGTCCACAGACAAGGTAGAGTATGATTTCATGAAAGTATGAAAAAAAGGAAAAAAGAAAAGAAAAAAAATGACTATTGTAATGCTTGATGATGTAAAGCAAGTCAAATTTGTAGTTTTCTTATGTCTCATTAGAACTACAGAAACGCGACCCGATCTCTGGCAATCTTACATAGCGTGGTTATACCAGATATAGGACCACAAAGCGAATCCAGAAGTGCCTTTCACCCTGTTACGACTTAATGAACCATTGAATGTGATTTTGGAAACTGTTTATTTTGGAATTATTTAAAAGGTAAAAAAAAAATCGTACTTATTGTTGCTTTAAGTGGATTCTGTCTAACTGACTTGAAACCTCTGATAGGCCATTGTGCTAATGCACCTAATAAATATGCATGGTAGGAGAGCATTTCAATATAAGGCCCCTCAAGACTGGAATAACCCTCCTTTTTTCTTGAGGACGTTTTGGTTATTCAAATAGTCACTTTTTTCTTTTATTAAAACTACACGTTCTAGTAATTATGGACACCAATGGCATTACATATAAACGATTTATGTAGAAAATAGTAGTATGCATACAATTATGTTTTTTTTTTTTTTTTGTCATTTTATTTATCTTGATTTTCTTTGGACATTTCTATGTGAGATGTGTCGTTAGCCTCCATGGAACATTTTGTCATAAGGCATATTGCTAAATTGTTTAATGCATTCAGTTCATTATTTTTCAATATACTTTAATGTGTGTGCTATTTTAATTGTGGGGGTAAGAGCAGGTGAGAGAGTTATTGTTTTGTACATATGTCTAAGTTTGCATTTTGTTTTTATACAAGTACTGTGTGGTTAACCTTTGTGTCTGTCTATATACACTGCAGGACCCCCTTGAAAATGAGATGATACATCTCAAGGCATTATCCTGAAATAAATTCAAATTCATATGATTTGCTTTAATGCTTAATGCCTCGCCTAATATATATATATATATATATATATATATATATATATATATACACACACACACACACACACACACACACACTTCTCGATGCATTTAGAAAAGTATTATTTAGAATGCATGTAAAACAACTCCCCTCTCTCTTGCAGTGACATCTCTTCTCCGAGGTCAAGGCTAGACAACCCGTCACTCACGTGACATCATAGCAAATAGCAAACCACATCCATCCATAATCAACTCCCGCCTTACATTTCTTCTTGTTCGAGGATCCGTTTCACTATGATATTTAGCACAATAGGGAAGAATAGACTATCGCAACTTACGTTTCAGGCCTACTTTAATTAAACAAATTTTGTTTTCATTTTCGATTAAATGAAATCTTTAATAAAAAACATAACAAAAAAAATCCTTTTGGTGCATCATAAATGGGACACCACCTTCACTTGACAATCAAATATCTTTTTGGTCCAAAACTGCTGTCCTTCTTAGACTAATGCTATTGACATACATGCGCTTTTGTGGAAAATTAGTGAAACAACAGCTGGGCAAAAGCAAGAGGAAAAATTAACTTAACATGTTACTGAAACTGAATGTACGAAAGCAGACAGGCCCAGGGCCTTGAAAAACACATAAATGAGTGAAGATGATGATGTCTAATGTGAAAGGGAAGGTGCAGGAATTAATGATTATCATTAGGGTAGGGATGATGGGGGCAGAAATATATCCGTTTGAGACCGGACAGACCTTGGCAACTCCGACTCCTGTGAAACGGGCCTCCAGCAACTCCTGCCTGCGAGGATCCAAGCTGTGCAATTCCTCCATCATGGCTGGAAAGAGAGGAAGAGAGCGTACAGAGAATTATGTAGCCATAGTGATGCTGACAGATTGACGGGACAGTGAGGTGTACGACATGTTGAGTCATACATGTTTTCGAGAGCATTCTGAAATTCATGACTCAGCCTCTCCACGACCACTCACTCAGTCTTAACGCACTCCAACCTAAAGCCGTTTATCCTATAGATAACCTACGGGAAAACACCATGATCATGCAAGATCTCAAGACATGTCAAACCACATGCAACACATAACCTGCAGTGCACTTAGCAAAGGAACGTTGTTTCGCGAATAGAAAACAAATGCAATCGGTTCAAAATCATACACTGTTATGAATATTATTCAAGGTTGGAGGAGGCTGGGGAGAAACAGTCACAATGAACACTTTCTACTTCTTAACTAACCAACCAACCAAACTATTAACGTTAGAGCCACCCCACCACTGATTTATATTTTAGTTAAATCTCACCCGTTGCACGTCTAATATGATTTAAAGATACTATTAGTCAGGACTGAATTTGTATTATTGTTTCAGAAAATTTCACATTATTTCAAGATTACTTGATGAATTGGCATGGTTAAGTTCTCATTCTAGTCTAATCATTATATTGGATCTGTGCGATTGATTGAAATAACCAATAACAATCAAAAGAAATAACGTTTTAAAGGACAAAGGCATTCACACAGGATCAAAACAAAAGAAACAGTATTTAAATACCGTCTCAATATCGCTTTACCCCTGGGTTTTGCTTCTATTGTCTGTTGTTTCTACATTGCCCTGCGAAATCTTCGGCTAACCTCCTTCAACCGCAAGATCTGTCTTGGTACCTGTTTTATCGAGGTCTTTTCTCCCGCTTTCCGATTAATTAGAGCTCCTTTCTTCGACCGTTCTCCTCCTCTGGTCTCCCGTCTCGCCCTTCCCGTCTCAGCCCGACATCTCAGGGCTAGGCCTCAGCCGAAACCCCGACCCTCGCCTGCGCTCGGTGCCTGCTGTGTTGCTAGGGGACGCCAGCTCCGCGTCCTACTATAGTCCGAGGACTGCGAGACTTCCGAGGCCTTGAGCTCCCGAACCCGCCTTTCTCCGCTGGCCTTGTGCGATATATCTTTTCTACCAGATCTGAGGCATGTGGAACTTCGCTGCAGATCCACATCTAATGATTTCCCATCCAAAATTATTCGATTCACTTCGAAGTTAGTTAATTGTGGTGTTGTTTTTGAGATATTTTGTTTCTCTTGTTCGTCTTCGCTGCTCTGGGTCAGCACCGAACCGGGATCAAGTCCTGGAATGATAAATTGGCTCTTTAAATCCCGTTCCAGCCTAAGGTCTCCTTTTAGAAAGATTAGCTGATGTAACGTTAGACGAAAAAAAAAATATTTTCCCAATCAGATTCGCGAAATCAGAATCGATTCGGTTCTCATTTTGTGCAATGTAAACAATAATCGGTAAATCTCATATTTTCTCGTGAGATTGTGCAAAACATTTCTACCTTTGAACCACGCCCACTTCCACTAGCAAACACTTATCAATGAAAGGAAAAAAAAGTTTTTTTCCCCCCTATATTTTAGGATAGGGTTTTATGATGTGCACATGCAGTATTATTAAATAAATATAATGTCAACTTTACTGTGGACGTTTTCCCCCAGCTTTTGCATCCAAACAGCATTAAATAAAGGATATAAAACTTGAAAAGAAAAAGTAACAACTTTTTGGACAGTAACTCAAATTGTCTTGTATTATAGTGAGTATTTAGGTGAAATGACAGAAATGGTGACTACTGCTATTGGTATAATATTTCACTTCTCAATGGATGTATACTGTATAAAATGTAAATAAAATGCAATTGTTTTCACACTAATTTTTCAATAAAAATCATCTGCTAAATTAATAAATGTAAATGAATAATATAACTGAACTTTTTTTACATTTTGAAAATAATTTTTGCGCTTTAGCCAATCAAAAACTTTCTCAATCAAAAAAAATCCTAATTTTTCCATGAATGTGGGAATCCTGTTTGATCGACCTCAGAGCCCATGAAATCAACATAGGAGTCCACATTTAGCTTTGTGTCCAGTAAAAGACTAAAGGCAGAAGGGGAAAAAAGTAGCTGACAATCAGAAATATGCTTTGATTTAATACCATCATGTAGTTTATTCATAACATTTAAAAAGTCCTTAAAAACATCACTCAGTTGATGAACAAACAGTTTATGGTCTTCAGATGCATCATGTCCTCCATTAGCATTCCCAAGAAGGCTGCATAAGATTGAGTCTCCATTCCACTGAGCACGCTTAATGGCATGTTTCCGCCAATCTTCAAAGTTGTTACAACCTGTCCATCATCTTTAAAACAACCATGTCACCACATCTTCGTGGTTCAGCCCAGATGTTCTCGATCTCTCCAAATACGCAACCTTGATTCTAAGGCGGCGCCAGGACCTTACGATACTTGCACTGTAACCAGACTCTGTACATTGTCAGCTGCTTTCCTCTGTTCACCTGCAAGCGTCGGTCCACCATGTTCTGCACCTTCTGCAAGCCGGCACTGGAGAACAGATCATGCAGCTCATCTTGAAGAGAATGACAAAAGTAAAAAATATAAATCCCTGTAAAATGTGAGCCATTCTTTTATTAACTGTATTCATATTACTCTATTATTCTGTAATGATATATTGTGCAACCAAAGCTTATTCATCAAATAGAGGTTCTTATAAGCATATAATTCAAGTTTAAACAAGAAATTACCTTGTGTGAAAAAGTAGACGCGTGTCCCATCCCCTCTAACATAGAAATTTTCAGACAAGCACCTCCCTGATTGAGTAAAGGACAAACAATTAGCCCTGTTGTTGTATTGCTGTTACTGCAAAATCAGCTTCACATGCCATTTCTAGGCAGATGTAGTCAATAATCAAACATTTAGTACAATTTTATTTTTTATTTTATAAAGTTTGTGCTGATAAAAAATCATAAAAATATGATTTACATAAAAAAAAAATAGTGCAGGCCAAAATATGTTTTACAGTAAACGAATGCTACAATATTGACATTTTGGTGGTTCTTCTCCCATCACAATTAGGCCTACTTGCTGCATTTGTGCAAGTGTTTGGAACGTGACTCAAGACAACCTGCTGCAATCCGAAAATCTTCTTTGAGAAATGATTTTTTTTTAAAAGTTGTAACATCAAGGATGAAAAAACAAGGATGTAACATCTACCTTTTTTGAAACGAAGCTGTGCCATGTCATAGCGACCATAGTCTCTCAATAGTAACACTCCTCCGGGTTTCAGCAATCGTGCTAATCTATTAATGGAGTTCTGCATCCTGAAACAGATGGAGGTTGAGAAGTTAATGCACCGCTAGTGTTGGACAATCAAGAGGGACGACAGGTCACACTGTTATGTTTATAGTGTGATAATGACATGGCCCTGGTGTCAGCAGACTTACAATAGCACACATTATACAGTTACATTTAAAACAAATTAATAGACATGAAATAGTGGCTATTTCAAACAAAACTGACCAATCAAAATTAGATGTCACGTCACCAATAGTTTCGACAGCTTTAAAGCAGTGGTTCTTTAAGACAATATTCAAAGACCTTTGTATCTAAGCTGATATGTTGTAATTAACATAAGTACATATGGAACATGGAAGATGGTTAAGATTGAACCACTGTTTTAAATATTGCTTGCTTTATGGTAACAAATCATTAGCATTCTAATGAAGCATTTTCTAATATAATTTTCAAGCTTTCCAAAAAATATTCAGACCTGCACACCATTCGATCAGCTTCAATGCGAACAAACAAAAATCCCCCTGCTCAACGGAGGTAAACAAATGAACACTAGACCCTTTTCACATTCCTGTTAAAGGTGCAATGTGTAAAAAAGATGAGTATCTATTAACAGAAATGCAATATGACATCCATAACTATGTTTTCAGTGGTGTATAAAGAACTTACTTAATTAACCGTAATGTTTATATTACCTTAGAATGAGAAATTAATAGCTCCATAACCGCGGGAATCCCCTTCTATGAAAGTCGCCATGTTGTGACGTCATATTCCTACCGTAGCCGAACGCGAACACACAGTGCTACAGAACGCGTTTCATCACTACCTTGAAAGAGAAATAGCGGAAAGCTGAAAGCTAGCCTTACACTCCGTGAGTAGTGTGACTTTTCCCTTGTGAGTGGTGTAAAATATGTAGTTGGGATTGTTTCATGTAACTTAGTTCTCCCTCGCTGTGTTATGGGTTTGTTATGTTGGGGATAGATGTGCTGTTACGTTCGTGAGACAGCTGATGATTAGTATTCATGTCATTGACCGTAAAACAGTACGTTACAGGAATCACTAAGCCGTCGATAGAGACTTTTAGATCACTAAAGTCGATCACAAAGAGTTTTCAAAATCAGAGAAAAAAGCCTATTGTGTGTAGTAAATAGTATCTATGGGATGCGGAGATGACATGATTGTAACAGCGCGCGCACTTCCGACCTTTGGACTCATGCGATGCGGACGCGTCCCAGCTCAGCCACAGTAACAGCTCATATTAGCCAGCTAAACTATTACTACCCTGTTAGAAAAAATATATAGCTGCTCCCTCGCTTTATTATGGGTTTGCTACAGTATGTGGGGAGAAATGTGCTGCTGGTTACGTTTGTGAGACAATCAGCTGATTACTATTATTATATTAAATTATATATTAAAACCCTTGATCCTCACCTGACTATGGCTTTGTAAACAGTATCCATGATGTGGTTTATAATGGACTGTGGTACAGAAACAGTGACAATGTTACACACTCTTGGATTACTCTGGCTATTCTCTGCTGTCTCAGCCGACGAGATGTTTGTCCCGTTTTAGCAACCGTAGCTTCTTCGAAAGGGAGGGGTGAGCAGTGGGCTGAGCCCTTAGTGCAAACCTGGTGCAAACTCGCAACCGAACCACTAGATGTCGCTAAAAATCACACATTGCTCCTTTAAATTCAGTACATTAAGTTTTTTTTATAGAAGAAACAAAATCTATTTACTGGAAAAAATCAGCCTTTTTAGAGGGAGTGGATTACAAATAGTAATATAACAAGAGAAATATATTTCTGTCCTAATTCAAAACTCACCCACGGTATCATTAACACTCACTTCTGTGGATGCAGGGCAGACAGCACAAATATGAGGACAATGACGTCCAGACTGCGGTCTGGCATTGGATACTCTGCAGACGCATCACTCATATCATGGACAAATGCGTGACAGCGCGACGAGTCATAATCAGGGTTTGACTGCCAAAAAAAAAAAATGTATCAAACAAGTTTAAATAAAGGCCTGCTATGAATGCTTAATACAGATTTCTTAATTAAAACTAAGAGATTAAAAGCGTCCCGTTACTTACTTTGACAAGGTCAACAGCAGTGCTGGAGAAATCACAACCATAAACAAAGAGACCTGGGTCACTGTTAAGCAAATAGAAAATAATTTTTCATCTGCATGAGTAACAAACACTCTGTACAGGTCTGGTTGCTGTATATCTGGACTCACTTGTTGGTTTTTAAGATGGGAAAGACTGTATTGCCTACTCCACAGCCCACCTACAGACCCCCAAACACACACACACACACATAAAAGTTGAAAGTGAGCATATTCTACTGACAGGGCTTTCATTTTAATACTGAACAGTTCAGGCCCATTCAAACCAGGGATGATAACTATAATGTTTATGATTAAAATCTAAATATATTAACAAAAAATAGAGTGAAACAAACAGAGTGAAACAATATCGTTGCAATCACTTGCAGAGCAATTTTTCCACAGCCAATAAGGATCTATCCTGCTTTAAAAAGCTCAAGCATTTAAAGTGGCAGAAGGGCATGATAAACTGCAGCAATATTTCCCACCGGTGCAGCTTTTAATATAATCAATTTTTTTTTTATATAATTATGATCGTTCTTGGTGCGAACAGCCCTTTATTTCATATAATGAAAGTCAATGGAGTGATGTTAATAGTTATTTGGGTGAACGAACGTGCCCTTTAAATGCATCTACTGTTTTAGAAAACTCACCTCCAGGATGCGATAGGATGCAGAGGCTCCAGGAAATGTAGTGTCTACGTGTGACGAGGGAACATCTTCACCATTTAACCGATACTGAACTGCGGTTCCCTCCTCCTCATGGTCATGTGGAGCCTTTTGTTGAGGGGCCAGCTCAGGGAACTCTGTAAACAGCCAATGGCGATCCTTGAAGAAACGGTTCTCGTGAATGGTGTAGAAATCGTTCCAGTACTCATTAGCCCTGCTGTCAAACTCCTCTGAAAGAGAGATATGAACAAAGAAAAGAAAAATCCCTCTGAGCAAGTCTTTGTAACCAAGGTGGCAAAAAGACTTAAAATAAACCCAAAAAATGCATAGGCAATAAAAGAAAAAAGAAAAAAAAAGTTTGAGTTAATATATTAAAATAACTAAAATTGAAATAAAATCTAAATAGAAATAAAAGAACTAAAACTAATAAAAA